TGAAAGTGTGTGTTTGAAGGAGTGTATGTAATCATCCCTCACTTCAAGAAGAAATGCCTTCTCCCAATGATCTCCAAGAGTGTCCTCTGCAAAAGGCCCGAAGCTGAGTCCCTGGAGTCCATAAACTGCCTTCTGGTCCATTAGAAGTCAAGCAGTCCTGAGATGCCCCCCTTCCCTAACCTCCAGTGCCAGGGAGCACTAATGGCCTGCCCATGGGCCCAATTGACACTGTTTCTGATGGGGACTGTCAAAGTGCAGGCGGTAATGAGGGGAGAAGCCTGTGGGAGTCGGCTTTTTATTACTGTAGCAAACACCTGTGGTAATTAGCTCATGAAGATGAAAGACTTATTTTAGCTTATAACTTTGAAAGTGTGTGTGTGTGTGTGTGTGTGTGTGTGTGTGTGTGTGTCAACCTCAGTTGCTCAGGTGTTGTTCACCTTGTTTTCTTGAGACAGGATCTCCCATTGGTCTGAACTCACCGTGCAGACTAGAGTGGTTTGCCAATGAGCCACCAGGATCTATCTGCTTGTCTCTACCTCCCCAACTACCTCACCTTACAACTGTGTTCCACCACACCTAGCATTTATCATCATCATCATCATCATCATCATCATCATCATCATCATCATCTAAGCTCAGGGTCTCAAATACTGGCTAGGTTTCCAAGGCAAGCACTTAACCCGTTCTCAGGAAATCAATAGGACTAAGTCAGATAAGAAGCAGTGAGCCAGTAATGTACGCTGAACGAGGATGGCAAACAGAAACCACTCTTGGAGTTTCCATAGAGTCCAGGAACTGGAGCATGGCTGGTGACATTTGAAGTTTGTTAAGTTCAAGTATTAAAAATTTATGGGTTTAAAAACAGCCTTACAAGCTTTATGTGGGGACCGGAAGATAGCTGGGAGATGATAGCTCACTAAGCAAAATGCTTGTCTTGCAAGCATGAGGACCTAAGTTCATGCCCTAGAATGCACGTGCTAAAACCAGGAGTGGTTTGTTATCCCAGCAGTGGAGAGTTGGAGAAGAGTAGTCACCAGCCTAGCCTGCTTGGCAAATCCCAGATCAGTGAGACCTTGTCTTAAAAATGGCAGAATCTGGGGAATGCCATTCAAGGTTGACCTCTTGCTTCTGTGTGCACACACATTCATGTATGCACAAACTCAAATGAACACACACACACACACACACACACACACACACACACACACACACACTTCCTGATTGCATGCACTCACATGCATACCCATGTAGGCAGTTTTATGCAAAAGAAATAAAAAGTGTAATTTCAGATGAAAAAGTAGGAACAAGAAAAGTCAACCATGACAGTAAATTACAAGAGAAAAAGAAATTAATCAGAAAAGCCAGACAAACAGAAAGCACAAAATAATATGCCATAAGGGGTTGAAAAGAAACCTGAACAGATCGGTGAGCACACTAACCATGGTGGCTGACCTCTCCTGCTTCAAACAGAAAACAATACCTAGTAGTGGAATTTAGAAGAACAATTCAGATTTAGATTGTTTACAGAATCACACTCAAAATGTGACCAAACAAACAAAATCCTGAAAATTAGCATGTAAACACCCCCTATGGAAATACTAACCAACCAACAAAACAAAACAAACAAACAAACAAAAAACAGCATCATGAAGAAAAAAAATTATAATTGAAAAAAGAGGCAAAAAGAACTCACCAGAACATCCCAAATGATATACAACTAAAACTCAGCTTCATATTTACAAAGCAGAATGTGACATAGTTATAAGAAATTCGTAAGAGTTTGCTTCTCTCAGGTGATGCCTATCAAAACACTGTAAGGACACACAGAGAATTTGAACTGCACAATTAATAAGCTAAATTTATTGAAGAATTATGTAGCACACACATATCAGTAACATGGAATTTTAACACTAAATTGATCATCTACTAGACCAAATGCCAATCTCAATGAATTGTGGAGATGTTATATAGCATGTGAACAAACCAGAAATCAATAATAAATAACTGAAGGCGTTGGAAAGATGGCTCAGTGGGTAACTGTGCTTCCTCAGTAGGCTTGAGGCTCTGAGAGTGAATCTCCAAAACCTACACAGAAAAAGTCAGGTTTGGCTATATGTGTGTCTGTGACCCCAGTTCTGTGAAGGGGAAATACAAGGGGATTGATGGGTCTTGGTGGCTGCCAACATGGTTCCAGGTTCAATGAGACACCCTGTCACAAGAAAATAAGGTAGAGAGTAACAGATTGGGATACCTGGCAGCCTCCTTTGGATTTTACACATGTTCACATGGACATGTGCACGCATTCTCTCTCTGTCTCTCTGTCTTTGTCTCTGTCTCTGTCTCTCTCTCTCTCTCTCTCTCTCTCTCTCTCACACACACACACACACACACACACACACACACACCACAGCATATGAACACACACAGGAACAGAAAATGATAAAGCAAAACAACAAAAACAACAACAAAAAACAAAAAACAGGAATCAGATATGTAGGTAGAAGTTTCTATCCTGCCTGGTCCTGAAGCCCTTCAGTCCCAAATAAGCACACAGAGGCTTACATTAATTATAAACTGTTTGGGTGCTAGCTAAGGTTTCTTATTGATTAGATCTCTCTTAATTATTAGCCCATTTCTATTAATCTGTGTATCTCCACATGGTCTTGGCTTCCTGGTGATCCTCAAGCCTCTTGCTTTCTTGGCAGTTACATGGCATCTCCCTAGAGACTCACTCTCTGCATTCTTCCTCCCAGAGGAATTCTCCTAGTCTGGTTGCCTCGCCTATACTTCCAGCCTGGCTACATCCTGCCTGTCCATTAGCTGAAACAGCTTTATTCAGCAACCAATAAGAGAAACATATATTCACAGCATACAGAAGAACATCCCCCATCACAGATGAGCAAAAGCCATTTATTTAAGGATATAGGAAATATATGTAAGGATAATTTATAGGTTAAAAGGGAATAAAATGTTAATAGAAAACGTTTAAGTTTGAACTATGAAAGACTATACTTTCAGGGATCATTTCTATAGTTTGTTAAATTTGAACTGTGACAAAAGCACTGGATATAAAAACAAGTGTTTGTATTTAAATAGAAACTTACTTTGCTTATATTAATGATTAATAAGTAAGACTTTAACTCAGTGATGAGAAAAATAGGAATATAAGCCAAGAAAGTAGAAAAAAGAAAACACAGAGAACAGAAATCAATGAAAGAGGAACTGAAAAGTGGGACTGCAATTCTAATCAAATAGCCAGTTTAGTTGACTTCTTAACAAATGTTACTTGCCAAAACTGACTTATGATGAGATGGCAAAGTTAAGTAGACACATAATCATCAATAAATGAGATCAGTGTTTAAAAATCTGCAGAGGGCTGTGGAGGTGGCTCTGTATGTCCAGTACAACACTGGACTTTAGATCCTCAGTTTCCACTTAGCAGGCATGGTGGCCTATCTCTAACTTTAGCACAAAGGAGGCAGAGACAGGGGATCCCTGGAGGGTATTGCCTAGATAAGACTAGTCAAGTCAGTGAGTTCTGGGTTCAAGAGAGAAACCCTTCCTCAATATATAAAGTGGAAACAGATTGAGGAAGACCCTGGCATCAAACTTTGGCCTCCACATAACCTTTGGCCTCCACATACATACTCACATATGCCCATGTATAAGGCCCCCCACCCAACCTCACACATACATATGCAAAACAAAAGTTTACAAAGACAGTGTCCGCCAGTGGTCTGGGGTGGTAGGAGATGCCAGATGGCTGTAGGGTGAGTTTTCAAAAGAATGAGGGAACAGATAATCCCCATAGTATGTAAACTATTCTAAAGAATACAGGGAACGAACGCTTCTTGGTTCATTTTGTAAGGCTAGTGTAACCTTGTTATAAAAAATAAATGAGGATGTAAATAGAGAGAATTGCAGGTCAACTACACTCATTAACATAAATAAACCAATAAACGTCAGACAAACTCCAGTAATGAATAAATAGAATAGTGTACCATGACTGCTTTGCTCCTCTGAAAGCACTAGGGATTAGCATTATTAAACACAAAGCTAGACATATCTAAGAAGAGGGAACCACAACTAAGAAAATGCTTCCAGAAGACTGACCTGTAGGCTGGTTGATGTGGCATTTTCTAAATTAGTGACTGTTGTGGAGGGCCCAGCCTATTGTGTGTGGTGCTACCCTTGGGCAGGCGGTCATGGGATGCATAAAAAAGCTGCTTGAGCAAGCCATGATTGAACAAGCCAGTAAGCAGTGTTCCTCCAAGACTACTGCTTTAGTTCCTGCCTCCAAGTTCCTGCCCTGCTTAAGTTCCTGTCCTGACTTCCTTCAGTGATGGACTGTTTGTCACATAAAAATAGAAGTAAAATAAACCCTTTCCTCCTCAAGTTGCTTTTGGTCATGGTGCTTTGTCATAGCAATAATAACCATAACTAAGACAAAAGGCAACCTTAAAAATTTTTACTACAGATTAAAGAATCAGTAACAAGCACTTAACACATTAGGAGCAGAGGGAGCATCTTTAACTCAGTGAATGTGGGTTTTATGCATGCAGGGAAAGGTCGCACTTAATATCTGCATGATTTGTTTAAAATCGAAGATGATGACAAGTGCTTTGCTCGTCACTGTGCCTGAGCTCTTAACCTGTATTATAGGGCAGGGGTATGAAGATTAGAAAGGGGGAAACACATTTTAGTATTTGCTGGTTTTATGATTAATATATAGAGAAATCTAGAAGAGTCTTCAAGACTATTTAGTTGAGGAAAGAGCTCAGCCTAATACAGACAGGTGAAGAGAACGGTGATGCTGTGTTCAGGGCAACATCATAAAAATTTTTTAATGTAAAGTTTTGAAAGATACAACTTCTAACGATACCAATCCCTATAATATAAGATTAGGAAAATGTGCATGAGACATGTGCGGAGGTGGATCTGCCTGGTCAGTGTACTGCACACAGGGGTCGTCAGATCACAGACCATGACAAGCGACTCACAGTGGCATCTCTGCCTCCTTAGAGAAAGTTCGAAGACATCCCTGAAAAAGCAGAAGTAAATGTGAATTGGCAGGGAATTTTATTATCCTTAACAATAACAAGCATCAATATAAAGATGTTAGTTCTCCCCAAATTAAGTTGTGAATTCATTGTTATTCAAATTAAAATTGAACTTGGTATTATTTCTTGTCATGTGACAAAGTGGTGATTTCAAAATATATGGAGAATTAAGGGCTAAGAATACAACTAAAACTCTGGAAAATTGATGGGGACTAATGATTCTTTGATACATTAGAAATCTAATGAAGCTTGTAGTTAAGGCAGTATGGTATTGGCACGATAGGAATGTGACAGACCCAAGTATGTGTGCACCAAGTATGTGTGCAAACAATGTTTAAGTGGTTAGCATGAAACTGGTGGGGCCAGATTTTTCTATAACTGATATAAAGACAAACACTTGTCTTCAAGGGAAAAAATAAAGCTAGATTCTTTCTGTGTGTGGCTGCACTGGTTAGTTTTGGTCAACTTGACACAAACTAGAGTCACCTGGGAAGAGGGAGCCTCAGTTGAGGAATTTTCTCCATCAGCTTGTCCCGTGGGCATGTCTGTGGGGCATTTTCTTAATTTCTAATTGATGTGGGAGGGCTCAGTACACAGTAAATGATGCCACCTCTGGGCAGGTATTTCTAGGTTGTATAAGATAGTATGCTGAGCACACCCTGGAGGGTGAGGCTATAAGTAGCATTCCTCCACAGCTTCTGATCTTGCTTGAATTCCCACCTCAATGAAAGGCTATGTGCCCTGTAAGTTCTTGCCATCTCCGAGTTGTTTGGGGTCATGGACAAGCTTGGCTTTGGTCATAGCAAAAGGAGGTTAATTAGGACAGGTTTGTATAAAGTGAATTAAAAATCTAAACATGTACAGTAAAGCATTTTAGAATATTGGTGACTATCTGAGGCTCTCACTATAAATATTGAATAACACAAAAAGAAAAAAAATCACAAAGAATAATAAAAATCCAATATCTGTATTTGTAAAAGACACTAAAACAACATAAAAGCACAAACCATTTTGTTAATAACAAAAATTAAGTAGCCAACCTGTATAAAGAATTCCCACAAATCAAGAAGGAAAAAGACAACATAATACAAAGTGTGCGGTGGTGGTGGGGGCAAACACTATGAATGAGCCATTCATAGAGAGAGAAATATCAAAAGAATGACAACCATGGCCAAAGGTGTTCTGAACTTCCCTAGTAAAGGCAGAAAGAAGTCCCTGAGCCCCCACAGCTTTCCATGGGTTGACACCAAATTCTATAACTGTAGGTTACCTCAAGAGTCTGGCACGGAGAGCCCACAGATGAACACAAATGCCTCTGCCAGTCTAGAGGATGGAGGAGAGAGGCATGATCAGACAGTGCAGAACATGTATGTGGCTGAACGCACTAAGTTGGTGCAGTACCCTGGTAGGAACTGTTGGTCTCACCCAGGGTTTTCAATGACAGGTCTCCTGAGATACAGAAATTCTGGCTTTTAAATCCCAAAGCAAAATTGGCATTTATCTCATAAGTAACCTTCTGCTTTGTAGCTCTCAAACTACTAGAAGAAGAAAGTCTTTATGGAACAATAAAGGGTTCAACAGCAAAGTGAGAGAGTCTGAATTCTTTAGCAAGCTCCACTCTTAATGTTCTGATGAATCTGGAAAGTATCGCTTGGCTACCTCGTGGGCATCTTCAACTGAGGCCCACAACTGCCATTCTTCCTTCAGCTCGCTTGGGCTACAGCTTCCCCAACTCCACGATATCCTTACAAGTGCTCAAGTAAAGACTTTTGGGGCTTTGGTGAGTGAGCTCATTCACCCTTGTCCTTCCCTCCTACTTCGGGGAATCTTTACCAATCTCTGGGCAGAAGAGATTGCAAATCTACTGCTCCATGCACTGAGGTAGCCCTGGCAGGAACCACTGCATCTCACCTGGTTTACTATAGTAGCCTTCCTAATTGCTCAGCTCCGTATATGGCAGGCATAGGGCCTTCAGAATAAAGCTTGGAGGTGTGGTTTCTCACACTCCCTCTACCAGAGCACACCTCCACAAAGAGCTCAGAGGCTCTCTGCAGCATGGCTTCTCTCTCAGCTACTGATCTCCCATGCTCTGCTTTAAGCTGCACAGTTGGTGCGTCCCTTTGCTCTTCGGAGGACACTTGATGTATGTTCTGTCTCAGGGACTGTGTTGGGGTTAGTCCTTCTCCCTGACCCAGATACCTACCTGACTGCCTCCCTCACTGCCCCATAGCCTATTAAGTGTTTATTCCTTGCTAACTGAAGCTGAAGGAATTTGGGATGATTTCACATAAAACAATAGCTGGCCCATCAAATTCTTGGGAAACTGAATTGTTTTAGTAAACTGGTCAATATCTGTGGTGAACATGGATTAAAAATTTCTCAATAGCTTCTTCTTTGGGAAAATACCAAATGGAGGATGATGCTGGTGCAGCAGGAGGGCCAGGAGAACCCTGGGGGCCAGGATTAGGGAGCCACAGTGCTTCTCTGGAGGATTTGGCCTTAGGGGCCAAGATTGTGGAAGAGGCTGTGACCATGGTGGAGGATGAGGGTCTCATGGAGGTAAAGCTGGAGACAAGAGTAAATAAATCCTCATCACAAAGCTGGGCTGCCTGGTTAAGGACATGAAGATCAAATCCCTGGAGGAGATCTACCTCTTCTGTCTGCCCATTAAGGAATCTGAGATCATTGGCTTTTTTGTTTGTTTGTTTGTTTTTTCTCTTGAGTGCATCCCTAAAGGTTCTAAATCTCATGCCACTGCAGAAGCAGTCACTGCTGGCCAGAGGAACAGGTTCAAGGCTTCTGTTACCATTGGGGACTACTATGATTATGTTGACAGGAGATAGCCACTGCCATCTAAGGATCCATCATCTTGGCCAAGCTTTCCATTGTCCCTGTGCAGAGATGCTACTGGGGGAACAAGATTGGCAAGCTCACACTGTTCTGTGCAAGATGACAGGCTGCTGTGGCTCTGTGTTGGTGTGTCTCATCCCTGCCCCAAAAGGCACTGGCATACTGCTTCTGTGTCCCAAAAGCTACTGATGATGGCTGGTATTGATGTCTGCTACACGTTAGCCAGGGGTTGCACTGCCAGCCCAGGGCAACTTTGCCAAGGCCACTTTTGATGTCATCTCTAAGACCTACAGCTACCTGACCCCTGACCTCTGGAAAGAGACTGTTTTCACCAAGTCTCCTTATCAGGAATTCACCGACCATCTTGTGAAAACCCGCACCGGAGTGGGTGCACTTGCAAATGGGTATCCATGTATGTGGAAGCCCTAATAGATGCTGGTAATCATCCTTAAAAGCTGTTTCACCCATTCATTGAAGTAGAATTTCTCAATCAAACACAGAGCATGCTGATTTGGCTAGCCTGACTGACTGGCCAGCTTGGTCTGGGGATCCCTTGTCTCCTCCATGCCAGCCCAGTGTTTAGTAGGTTCTGGAAATCTGCACACTGGTCCTCATGTTTGCAGGACAAACATTTTCACCACTGAGCCCAGTCCTCATATAGCTCTTAACACAAGGTCAATAGAACTGATGGATCCCACAAGGACAGAGCCACTATGGGAATGGGAACCCTTAACAGCTGCAGGACAAAGATGAAGGCCTCAGGTCATGTTCATGGACAGGGTCACCTCCAGGCACTTGCTGGCAGAGATCTTGAAAGTATTCTTGCTGCACAAAGGGTGTGAAACAACAGCCCAGCTCTTTCTGTCTCCTGTTTCGAGAATGGGGCTTTAGGAAGCAGCATTTTATCCTGTAAGATCAGAGGATGAGACCAATGCTGGTCATGCTTACAGCCAGTCACTCTACAGTGTAATTGAATCCCTGCCATGACTCTCTTGACAATACCATACAATTATTCTTTACATCCATGAGTTGCAGTGGGGCCGGGCACAGAGATCCAGGGATGCAATCTTTTCCATATTAGGGTGCAATTAATTTATTGTCTTGTCTACCAGAAACTGAAGCCCATGCTCCCTGTAATTGTGTTAATCAGAAATCACATCTCAAATCCACTTCCCACTCCCATTTGTCACAGTCATGCTCAGGGTAGGCTGAGGCTGCCATCTCCTCACAGAGACGGGCTGAAATGCACTGCTAAGGGCTCCTCTAGGGTAAATGAATTTGCATTTTTTCAGGGAAAGATTTCTGAGGATCATAAAGCAGGGTTGTGTCAGGCTCTGGGAGCCCCCTAGAGGATACCCTGTCTGAGCTGGGGTTGAAGTTTTCGCTATCATTGCAAACTGGACCCAGTCAACCAGGGACTAGGGAGGCTTCTGGTAGCTCCTGTATTCTTATTTCCATACAGATAGGGGCTCATTTTCAGAGAGATTTCTTGAACTCCTGGTGTTTGGCAACACATAGTGGATCTCCCTGGCAAGATAGCTCATCCTTGACTTTGCAGTTAGTCTCAAGGGAGGCAGCCTCTCCTCAGGAATCTGCTGTGAGGGAGCACTATGGCCTTCCCTCCCCTCTACTCCAGAGGGACATGGATGCTTAGAGATATGGTTAGTCAAGATGAAGCCCTAACTCCTGCCTGCAATCTCCTCTTCACAGAATGGGGTCCCCTCCACACTAACTTTCCTTCCACTCTCCTGAGATCTAGCAGCCCAAGGAGGCTGCTTTAGGAAGGTCTCAGGTGGAGTGCATAGGGGCAGATGGTCCCTGGACAGTTTGTAGGGACAGGCCAAGCCACAAAGTCACCAATCAGGATGACACAGAGAAGTGAAAGTCTTGGGCTTCTGTGCGCTGCAGCAAGAAGTCAGATTTGCAGACTCAGGTGAAGACTCAGAGGACAAGTCTGGGGCCAGGAGATGAGACGAGAAGTTCCCAGGAAAGGCCACTCACCAGAAACTCTGCCCTCTGCAACCTGGAGCTAGCCTGAAATGACGGAGCTAGCATGGCTCTTTCACCAGGCTTCCCTCCCACGCTGTCTAGAAGAGTCCTCAGGACTCCCTGGCTGGGTTGATGAGCAAGGCGCATAGTCGGGCTTAGAAATAAGTGTAGGAAATATACTTGGTAGACCTTGGGGAGCTGTTGAACGGGGTCAATGGAACTTGATCTGGTTAGTTTTAACTGTCAACTTGATACAAGCTAGAGTCACTTGGGAAGAGAATCTTAATGAGGGATTATATAGTTCAGGTTGCCTATGGGCATGTAGACCCACCCTGAATATACACAACAACATTTTATAGGCTGGGCCTTGAATTGTTAAGAGTGGAGAAAGCAAGATGAGCATAAGGAAAAGCAAGCAAGCAAGCATGAATTTATCCCCTCTGCTCTAGGCTGTGGACATGACACTCTGGCTTCATGCTTTGACTTACCCACAGCAATGAACTAAGACAAGCAACCCCTTCCCCCCCCCACACACACACATTACTTTTGGTCAGAATATTTTCTCACAGCAACAGACATGAGACCGGGACAGAGCTCAAGGTGGACAGCATGGCTGAGCTGGACCCTAGGGGCACTTGAGTGGACACAGCTGGCCAGTCTTTTTCCTACCCTGCCTACTAAGCATGGGCTGTCTGTCCTTCTTAGCGCTTCTTCTGCTAGCCAGGTGGCACAGAGACGTGTCCATAGAGACCCTGTGAAGTCTCCCCAGTGGCAAATAAGAGTGACCTAATACATTGCCGTGGTGTCAGAGCCTGGGCAGGGCTTTGATGGACCCCCATGAAAGAGTTAAGAGGCAATGGCTGACTTGAGCACTCACTAAATCATGTTTTAGCTGTTTTACCTGTTGTGTGACAAACTGCTCTGACAAAAACAACTCCAGGGGGAAAGTATTTATTGCAACTCACAGTTTGAGTAAGGATATAGTCCATCATGATGGGGAGCTCCTGAAGGCAGGAGACTGAGTCGGCTTGTCACATGACATCACAGTCAGGCTCCCAGGGCTTAGATGTCTGCAAAGCTCTTCAGCTGCTTCTATGGCAGTGTGACCCACCACAGAGGTAGGTCCTCAGGGCCTTGACACCCACATTCCTTGCCAGATACTGATCCTGGCTCTGCTGACTTTTGGGTCTGAGTTGGAGTTTGTCGGGCCACTTTTAGCCAGGTTGCTGATTAGGACCAGGTATACTTACTCCAAGGATAAGAATAACACTCTCTTCTTATAGGGGCTAGATCAGAAGCCACCATGCTGTGTGTCAGCATTCGCTTATCTTTCTACAACAGACATTTTTTCACAGAAAAATTGGAAATGCTTTTCAGCCATCAGACTGCTAGGACACAGTCTAGGACACAGCCTATTGCTGATGGCTTGGCATGTTTCTGAGGATTTGTCTGGAGTCTAAATCTTGTTGTGTTGAGAGTGTGGCTTTGACAAGATCCACAGTTAGGGTGACACTGGGTCACAGCATTGCAGGCTGTCTGGAGACTGCAAGGGTGCCTGGTGTGAAGACCCTGGATTCTGGGATGAGCCCTCCCAAAAAGTGTTCAGAATCTGGTTCTGCTACTCATGACCTTGGGGAAGTCACATTGCTCTATTGCTCTTGGGGTAAAAGGAGGATTCTGTAAGTGAAACAATGCATTCTAATCATGGAAAGGTAATGTAGTCATTGTGAGAATACAGTTTGTAAAACCTACGTGTTCAGAAAAGAATATGGTGTCTCTGGAATTCTGAAGACAGTCGTCACTGAGGGACAGCTAGCATGGGTCCTGTGCTGTGTGTTCAGCATTAACCCAGACTCTGTGTAGCCTGGGAAGGGGAGAATGGCAGTTTGGAGCTAAGATTTATTGACCCCACCAGGCCTATGTATCTGGCTTATACTTGCAAGAGAGACCTCGACTAAGCAAGGATATGGCATGATCTACACAGGGCAAGAGAGCCTTCATGCCTGGATTTTGTCAGCTAGCATCCTTAACAGACTGATTCCAGAGCCCAGCTTTTGTACTTTCAGCCAAGGATGTTTCATTCTGGGATATCAGGACCCTTTAGAACACAGCAGTCCCATCATTGTTTCAGGTCAGCATGGCATTGCAAGTGACTTATTCTATCGATAATGTGCATACATTTCATTAACCCACTTGCAGCCTAGTGCCTCTGAATGGAGAAGGCAGAGGGAGAGGCCTTCCAGAACCACTTTGCCAGGGGAGTCCTGAGACTCGGAAGCTTGTTTAGTTCCTGTGGCTTCTAAGTTTTGTTCATTTCCTGAGTTTTTAGAGCCTCCCTCTTTCAGTTGGCTTGGTGGTGGGTAGCTAGCTATAAGACAATTTCCTTTGGTGGAAGCTCTACCCCTTGACCCAGAGAGGAGGAAGACAAGGGCATTCTTAGAGGACTTCTCACAAGGCAGCTACTTTGAATTATGTCATTCTTCTCCCCATTTCCTCTTGCCTCATGATAGAGCTTCTCTGTGTAGCCCTGGATGTCCTGGGGAACTTGCTCTGTAGACCAGGGTGGACTCGAACCCAGAGATCCACCTGCCTCTCAAGGAGTGCTGGGATAAAGGCCTGTGTCACCATACCCAGCATCTCCTCATTTCCTGTTTTATGCCCAGGGTGCTAATGGGCTATGGAGAGGGAACAAACTTTCCAAGCAGCTCTTCTTCTGCCTCTGGTGGCTTGTAATCAGCCCCTCTCACTCTGAAAGAGCTGAGGCACAGGAAGAAAGAAGCATTGGGTGTACATTTTGAGTTTAGCAGTGATGTGTGTGCTTAGCATGCACAAGGCTCAGGGTTCCCTCATTAGCCCCAACCTCAAGATAGCTGCACCCTGGCTGTGGCACCTAGATTGGAACACAGACTGAGTGGGTCCCTCCACCTAGAGGGCTATGGAAAGCATCCCTCACTTTACCTAAATGACCTCTGAACCTTTCTGCCACTGGCCTTGCCGTGTGTGTCTGTATCAGGCTAGTCTATGGAGTGGTGCGGTTCCAGGCTTGGGATTTGAACTTCCTTGATCCCAGTTTCCACAAGTCTAGAATAGAACTGTCAACTCCATTCTGATGGCAAAGTGGTGGGGTTGGTCCAGCTAGATTCTGACTTCTGCTGCTCACACTCTTCCAATGATGACTATGGCCTTCCTGGGCTATCTCAGTCCCAGTACTCTGGCATCCCTTCCCCCCTGGACCGACTCAAGAGAACCATCCTCACCTGTCTGTAGGCAGGGTCACCACAGATAGAATCAGACTGCTAGCCCCACCCTCTTTGCTCCCTTTGTGGGAAAGGCTGGGGGATCCTGGCTTCTGGGCCCTCAGTTTGTGCCCATAAGCGAATGACTGGTTCTCAGGGGTCTTTTGAGAAAGGAGGTAGGGGATAATTGTTTGGGACTCAACTGCTTCTGCGTTTTCATTCTGTCCTCTTGGTGGGTAAACGTGTGTGTGTGTGTGTGTGTGTGTGTGTGTGTGTGTGTGTGTGTGTGTGTGTGTTGGGAGGTGGACCTCAGTAGGAAGTGATAAGTCTTTATCTCTTCCAGGTTCCTATGTACTTCCAGGAAGCTAAAATTCCTTGAAAGTGTTAAGCTAGTACTCATGGCCTCCCCTGCTTTTTGAAGATCATAGGATCTAGCTCTGTCCTCATCTTCTGAACTGTCACAGTGAGGTCACATGGGTCTGACATGTTCTCATCTCTTGGTACTTGATAGACCCTTCAGCCTGGAAATCCCCAGTCAGTCTCCTTTTCTTCTCCTTCTTTTTTGATTATTTGATTTCCTTCCTCTTACTTTCAGTGTTCTTTTTTGGGAGGCGGGTGGGTGTCTGTAAAGCTCTCATTGTTTGCCCGAGTGTGTTGATTGCAGGAGAAGTGAGTCGGGATTGTGTGAACAGGGTGATGATGGGCTTCAGGCAGAGTCTGTGGCGGGGCCTCAGTGAAGAATTCAGCATGTAGCTTCAGAATTTCCCTATTGACACAAGGGTACAAACCTCTCATACTTCTGTAGCCATGGTTGTTCATTAGCACCACTGAGGAGCTCTGGAACCCGGATATTTCTGGCTTCTGTGTAGATACAAAGAAACTGGGCATGGTGGCATGCGATTGTAATTCCAGTGCTGGAGAGGCAGAGACAGGTGGAGCCCTGAGTTTAGCTGGCCAGCCAACCGAGCATATCAGGTGAGTTCTAGTACAGCGAGAGCTTCTGTCTCAAAAATCAAGGTGGATGGTGCTGGAGGGAGGACACCCAAGGTTGTATGTAGTCTGACCTCTGCACATAATCATACACATTTGCATTGCCACCCCCTTTTCCCAGGAAAGGAGAGAGAGACAGAGAGAGACAGAGAAAGGATGGCATAGTACTGGGATTAATGGGCTGCTGTGTTGGGGATGGGGAGCCTGAGTCCAGGCCTCTTAGGACACTGTGTTAATCACACGGATTGAGAATAAAGACCATTACTCAAACTCTCTTTTAAAAATTTATTTATTTATTTTTATTACATATACAGTGTTCTGTCTGCATGTTTGCCTGTATGCCAGAAGAGGGCACCAGATCTCATGATAGATGATTGTGAGCCACCATGTGGTTGCTGGGAATTGAACTCAGGACCTCAGGAAGAGTAGTCAGTGCTCTGAGCCATCTCTCCAGCCCTATCCAAACTCTTTTAGTTGAATTAAGCAAACTTTATTTTCTGTCAGACAAGGCTATGTCCCTAATGAGGGGTTTGAGAAAATAGCAATAAATGTGAGACAGTGGGGTTTATATAGCCCTCAAAACTGCAAAACTGAGGGATGGGGTTTTAAGGGTTTGGAGTTTTCTAGAGGAAATTTGGTTACATAGGAACTTGGCTGAAACTTCTCAAAATTATTTGGCAGACCATCTTATCTTATTAGGGTGGAGGTCAGGGTATAGGGTGTGGAACATATCAAGTTCCAGAAAAGGGGTCAAGACATGGTGGAACCCAAGTTTTACTGAAGACATAAGTGGACTTATTTTGATCTTGTAATAAGATAGCTTCTAATCTTAAAATGGAGTCAGATTAGTCCATCAACTGGCAGGCCCCTACGTGTCACCAAAGCACGGATGGGTCCCTATTTATCTGTACCCTGATTTCTTAGCTGTCTGTCTTTCTAGTGTCTTTCTTTGAGGTGTCTATGTATGCTACTGTCACGATTTCGATTGTTTACAACCATAGCTCTCCTTCTCAGATGTCCTTTGTGTTTGTTGAGTCTCCTCTTCTGGGATATTCTTTCTTTCTTAGTTCATGGCTGCAATATTGTCCCTGAGCTCTCAGAGGCTGTCACGGGGGAGGGATGTTTCTTTATTTCTCTCTGTGTATATGTTCTCCAGGTCAACTCTTTTCTCTTTGTCACGAAGGACAGTTCCTCAACAGTTAACAGTCAGGGAGGCCAACACTGACTGGGGACTGTTAAGTGAGTAGGTGGCTGTGTTGCTGTCACTGTAACAAAGAAAAAGCTTCTTTTTCACTCTCAGTCTTGTGGGTTCTACTCTGTAATCAATGAGTCAGCACAACATGGTGGGGGCGTATGTATCAGAACAAAGCTGCCCTCCTTGTGGCTGGCATTCAAAAGTGACAGGAAGGGCAGGAGAGATGTCTCAGTGGGTAAAGTGCTTGCCTTGCAAGCATGAATAATAAGTGCTTTGAATCCAATCCCCAGAACCTACTTTTAAAAAGCCAGGTATGGTGGGACACACCTATCTATAATCCCTATGCTGGGGAAGTGGAGACGAGTGGATACCTGGTATCACTGGCCACTGGCCCAGAATAATGTGCAAACTTTGGGTCTCGGTGAGACATCCTCAAAGCTAAGGTGGTCGGTGTTACCAAGGAATGAAAGCCACGGTTGTTCTGTTTTCCACACAGCAGTGCATATGCATGCATAGGTACCAGCACATGTTTATGATCCTGTCAAATAAGAGTGACAGCAAGGGAAGGTCTAGGGTACCACCCATCCTTTACAGGACATGTTATGAATGACCATTGATGAGGAGGCTTAGAATGAGTTTAAATTTCTGCTGCTCTTTTAGCTACGTCACACATGTTGCACTTTGCTTCCGAAATCTCACTTCCTACCTCAGCTAGCCACCCCCCCACCATCCTCGGCTTAAATGGACAGTTGCAAAACAATTGTTCCAACTTCATCACTTCTTCTTCTGTCAACATGCTTGATCATGGTCCTTAATCACACAGGCTAAACCCCACCAATGACAGAAAAAGGTTTAAAAAAAAAAAAGGTGCTGTCCAGTCTATAAATATTGTGAAAAACTGTGAATCAGGGCCCAACTCCTCAGAGCCTTAACTCAGATGGGTCTGCCAGCTGGGCCCACTGTCGCAATTAAAGACGAGTTTTCCAGCTCCCTGAGTTCGATTTGTTTTCCTGAAGGTCTGGCTTCTGCAATAGCATAACAGCTCCCTTCTTGCCTCCTCTTAAAAAAATCCCCACTAGTGCCATTCTGGGGATCAAGACAAGAGCATACCTTTAGGAGGTAGTTAAGATCCAAATTCCAGTACTGTGCACAGTCAATAGGACAGTTTGGTTTGAGATTCTTGGATTCAGACTTCTTCTGGGATGGGGTAATAGGCTCTTGCTCCTGAAAGATGCAGAGTAGAAGGGAGAACCTTGGGGTCTTGGTCCAGACATCTCCAGTGTATGATGGTCTGACTCTACAGTGGTGCAAGAGTGGCTGCAACTCCTAGTTAGCCGTGTGATGATGAGGGGAAGTGACAGTGCTCCACAGTGGGCCATTCTGCTAGCATAGAGTACCAGAGGCATAATAGACCCATTTCCTGCTTATATGCTCAGCAATAGTGGACTTGAGAGACATCATCCATTGTTGGTTAAAGAGCACCTTGTGATACTCAATCTTGGTTGTCAACTTGGTGGGATTTAGAATCTCCATGGAAACAAACCTCTGGACAAGTCTTTAAGGGACTCTGGAGACTGGGAAGACCAACCTTCAGTGTGGGCAACACCATTCCACAGGCTAGAGCCCCAGACTGAATGAAAGCTAAGAAGAAATTGGAACACCAGCCTTCACCCATCTCTGTTTCCTGGCTCTGTGTTCAGTGTGACCAGCTGCCTCATTCTCTGCCACCATGCTTTCCTAGCTATGATGCGCTGTATATGTGAACTGTCACCAAATAAATTCTTCCTTTCTTAAATCATGTTTTGTCAGGTATTTTGTCATAGCAACTTGAAAAGCAACCCATGTGTACATGCATGCATGCTTGCATGCATGTATGACATCTCATGGGTTCAATCACCCTCTGGGGCAGTTACTGTTGTCCTTTCTTACAATGAAGAGTCTTGGGCATAAGTAGAACAGGCATCAATTTTGCCCTTGCAGAACGAGAAAGGTGGAAAGTGGGTCCTCACTTGACACCTGAAGTGCTGACTCATCTTGGGATTTGGGGTCCAACTTAGAGGAAGAAGTAGCAGGTAAATGTGGGTGTTTATGGTTTGGAATTTAGTAAACTGTTAAGCCCGATTGTGATCTTGAACACATCACCCAGCTTTTCTATGTGCATCCTAGAGTTCATTGTCTATTCTCAGGCAAAGAAGCACCAAGGGGGAAATTTTAAAAAGACCCTGGCTGTTGCTGGAGCCTGTGCAGCTTATTAAAAAAGACATACTTCAATGATGCTTTTTTTTCCCTTTAAACTGGGCCGGTATCAGGACATAAGACAGATACTCTTAAATCAAACATACTGTGAGCCCTGTAAAATATTGGACATTTCTAATTATGCTGTTATGAATAAAATGGCAATATGGTGCAACCTAGGGTGATTGCAATTAGATGGGCACTGAGTGGGGAATTTTGTGGCCCAGCTTGATGGAGGAACCTCATTTGATTCAGACATTTTGTTTTTAACACCATGGCTGCGGGACACTGGTTGAGACATTATCCAAAAGTGAAGTCATGACAGCTACAGGAGGATGACAGTATAAAGGTAGCTGGAGCTCTGAGAGGGAGATAACGTGTTAAATGAGAGGTTCCAAAGAGCCTAGAATGGTGGCTGAGCCAGGCACTCAGGCCTGAAACCACCATTTGAGCTGACGTATTATATGGAAGATGAGCTTGTTTTGTCATGGACTTGGACCATGTGGGATATGAGCTTTGCCAGAGGTTCATGGTATAGTTTTATAAAGTGTGTGTGTGTACAGGTGTTGTTCCTCAAGTGTCATCCACTTCATTTTTTTTTTAAAGGTGGGGTCTCTCACTTTTTACTTGGCACTGGTTGATTTGACTTGACTGGCTGGCCAGTGAGTCACAGGGATCCACCTATCCCTGCCTCTCCAGGGCTGCGATTATAAGTCCAGGGCTGGGATTGCAAGTGCACACCACTGTGCTTGGCTTTTTATGGTGATTCAGGGATCCACTCAAGTCCTCATGCTTGCAAAGGAAGCACTTTACTGAATGACACATCAGCACTCATGACATACTAAAATCTGTCCTGCTGCTTAGAATGCAGATAGACTTCTCAGGGTCCCAGGAAATTTAATGCCAAACATATGGGTTGGATCTTTGTTCTTTCATACTGATTCTCACTCTACTCTTTTTTCATTCAGCCATGTTCCTCATGCTTTACCCACTCATCTATCTGCATCCATGCTTTTATGCACCCGTCTCTTTATATACTCAACTACTCATTCACACATTTGTCAACTCACCATCAAGACATCCACTGACCCACACAGTTATCATCCATCTTTGTATCCATGGATGCATGCATACATGTATCCATCCATAAATCCGTGTACTCACCATGCATCCATGCATCCATTCCTCTAAGCATCCATTCCATGCATCTATTTATTCACTTACCCATTGCCCCATTCATTTATCCATTCATCTATCCATCCACACACCCACAAATGCATGCATGCACCCATTCATTGGCTTATGTCATCCATCCATGCATCCACTCATGACACACCCATCTACTTCCACCTGTATATCCAACCAGCCTTCAGCATCCCAGTATCCCAGGTACTATAATTGATGCCGAGAAACAAATAGGTGAATTAGATAAAGCTCCTGCCTTTAAGAGCATATTAGCCTATTTACAGGTGCCTGAGAAAAGCAAAAATGTAAGAGAGTTGAGAGGGACTCATAAGAGGAAGTTTCTGGAGTCAAAATAGGGTAGAAAAAGGAAGCCACTGAGGATTTCATCAGGTAACTCCCTGGCAAGCTCCTCTCAGCAGGCTAGATTGGTGGAAGATGAGGAGAGGCTGAATCCTTGGTTGGCTGCTCCAGCGGTGCACATGGGGACATGTAGCCTTGGGACTAGAAAGGGAGAGGTGGAGAAATGACATGGGTCAAAATGCTTGGCTGGTGTAAGTGCAGGCTGGTGTCTGTAGAGTGGGCTGTCATGGTTGGCTGGATATTTTCAAGTGTATAGGCCAAGATCAAAGATTAAGCTGCATCCAGGCTGGGTTCAGGGCCGTGGTGCCCCGGGCATCATTATCACTGATGACATCCTCTCCTGGCAGTCCTGGAACCCCTTTTCTTCCTCCCCTGCTACTCTAGGTCTACCTGTACTTTCTACCCTGTTCTAGACTTCCAAAAGCTGACAACAACCAAGGGTCAAGGGAGAAGTGATTTTCCTGTTTGTAAAGCAATGGTGGCACACAAACCATTCCTCATGGTTCACTCTGACGGGCAACCATTTATCTAGATAATGCATTTATTTATTGCAGTTTCACTATTTCACATTGAGATATATGTGCAAACTGAAGTGCCAATGATTTTCTAGTACATATTAAATGTAGGGAAGGAATACAGAATTGGGCACATTAGATTATTTTGGTGTTAAATTCAATGTTTGCAGTCTCCATTGTGCTGCTCCATCACTCCCTCTGCTACAAATCAATTTATAAGACTTTTGTTGGAAATGTTGCTTAGTATCAAGAGCAGTGGACAAACCCAGCTCTAGTGAACATTCTATCGCTAGAAGGTGGGAATGTTGAGCAGGGTGCAACTCCCTGACTCCTGAAAGATTGGCTCTGCCGAGTGGGCTTCCTGCTCCTATCCCTAATACCCTGTGGCCTAAGGCAAGGGCTCAGACAATGTGCATACATGAGCAACCCTCTCGTATTCACTCACATGCAAGCATGTGCACATGTCCATGTATACACAGGTGTGTGTGCCCATATACACAGAGGCCAATGGCCAACCTCAGGTGTGTTCCTTAAGAGTTACCTGCCTTGTTTTTAGAGGCTGGGTCTCTCATTGGAACCCAAGGCTTGCCAGTGATTAAGCTGGGGTGGCTATCCAGTGAGCTCCAGGGTGCTTATCTCTGCCTCTCTCTCTAGTACTGGGGTTACAAGCAAACATCATCATACCCAGTTGTGTAGCATGAATTAGGACATGGAGGTTTCGGGTTCTCATGGGCAGGTCCTCACTGAGTTCCGGTTTCCACATCTGTTCAATAGGGGTGATTGTTGCTCTGCTGGCTTAACCAGGAGTTAATTTCCCATGAGACTATAAATATGAAAGCATAGCTATGTCACTAAATGTGGGGCTCGTGTATCAGGCCTTGCCCCAGTTTTTAGTTCTGTGACTTGGGGAAAGTTGCTCAGCCTCTGTGAACTTGCTCTCCTGGATGGCGTGCGAACACGCGTGCGTGCGTGCGTGCGTGCGTGCGTGCGTGCGTGCATGTGTGTGTGTGTGTGTGTGTGTGTGTATGGTGTCTGTGTGTATGTGTGAGTAGTTAGTTCACTATGACCCTGTAGCTTCATAGTTTGCTCAGCACCTGCAGTACACTTTGGCAGTTATGACTCGTTTAAAAGGAGGCATTAAAACAGGTGGAGGTTGAGGGATCAAGAAAACATTATTTTGTGGATGAGGAAGGGATTCAGAAAAGGTGACAGATGTAGGGAAGGCAGCCTTTCTTACCCATGGCATCTCCTACCATGCCTTTCAAAGGAGGAAAATGGCAAATGAGCTGCACCAGATGCTGGGGAGTCCGAGGACCAGCCCTGCTCGGGTGACCCCATTTCTCTTCACTCTGGCCTTCACAGATGACCACCCCAGGCTGCTCAGATTTTGCCAGTGCTGCAGTCACCGTGTGCAATTAGCATCCAGTGTGCCATGTCTGTCTCTGCCATCCCTCCTGCTGGCTGTTGGTGGTCTGGGCTCTGTGAGCAGACCCTTGCTGCCGCCATAGCCCTCCCCTGTTGCATATGACTGTCTAATGGGAGCTCCGAGTTGCCTGCTAGGACGGGCAAGATTGCAGTGTCAGCATTTCTTCAGCTCCTAATAAATTCTCTAAAACTCTTCCTGTAGACAGAAGCTCAGTGTGGGGGCTCTCTGGTGGCTACTGTTTGGAATGGAGGAGGAGGGGTGGAGGAAGGAAGAGGCCGAGGGATGCTCTGTAGACATAGTATATCCGGCTTTCCTCCCTCAGGAGTCCGGGGTCTACATTGTCCTGGTACCTGGGAACTCCTGCTTCTGACTGTCTCTGAATTGGGAAGTATCCCCATCCCACACCCACTGTTAGCAGCTTCTCCACATATTCATATTCTTGTTAGTTTCTGGCTGTTAAGTTGTGGAGTCAGATAGACATAGCTCACATTCCCAGACCCTCCTCTTAGCAAGTGACATTTACAAGTCCACAAAAAAGAATGTGCTTAATGTAAACAGGTCCTTCTTAGAGAGGTTTGCCCTTTCCTTTGTGCCTCTGTCTATCCTCAGGGACATGTGTGTGAATGCTTGGACGTGTGTGTGTGTGTGTGTGTGTGTGTGTGTGTGTGTGTGTGTGTGTGTGTGTGCTTGGACATGTATATGTATGTGTGTGGCATGTTTGTGTGCACTTGGGCATGTGTGTGTATGCTTGGACGTGTGTGTGTGTGTGTGTGTGTGTGTGTGTGTGTGTGTGTGTGTGTGTGTGTGCTTGGACATGTATATGTATGCTTGGACATGAGTGCACATGGAAGCCAGAAGTCAACCTTGGGTTGGGGTTTTCAGGAGCCACACACCTTGTTTTTACTTTTGTTTTTATTTTGAGGCAGGTTCTCTAGCTGGAACTTGAGGCTCACTGATTCAGCTAGGCTGGCTGGCCAGCGAGCCCTAGGGATCTATTTGTCTCTGCTCTGGGGATTTCAGGCTTGTGCTCCCAAGCCTGGAGTTTTTATGTAGACTCCAGTGATTGGACACAGATTCTCATACTTGCCCAGCAAGCACAGTTTTGGGAGAAACTGAACTGTTTCTCCAGTTCTTCCCACCCATGGACTTTTGAGTGCTGCCTGCTAGATACATTCTGGGCTTGTGGGTACAGGGGAGGCTCCTGCCATTTTTAGATTGTGGACCCTTCTTCTTTTAAAGAGGGTAGGCAACGTTTGTCATCACTAGTACCTAGGATGATGGCTTTCCAGGTCAAGGGGTGGGAGAACCCAGGTATTAGGCACTTGTGAGTCATTTGTTTGCTCCAGTGGCTGGGAAACAGTATGGACCCGACTGGCTCCTTGGGCTACCACTGAACAGTAGGCTTAAACTTCCACCCTGCCACAGAGTTTCACTAATGAGGCAAGCTTTGGTGCTGTCTCCAAACTGGTCCTGTGCAGATGTGAACTTCAGGGTGGGTTCTGTGAAGACACTCACATGGGAATATCCCCCAAGGCACTAAGAATAAAGCCTCATAGAGTCATCCCAAGCCCATTGAATGAGTATGGCCTGTCAGAGACATAAGTAAATGGACTCCAGGCTTTAGGACTGGTAGCTTATTCCTTCCTGAACTCTTTGCAGGTGATCTCTCTGTGAACAGCATATTCTCTGGAAACACAGAACTTTCGACTTGGCCTAGTGTGGGTACAGGGCCCCCTTCCCAAAAGCTGGGGTATGCACAGAGTTTGAGAGTGGGCATCTTGTCTGAAATGTTCCTCCATCAGAGTGCTGACTACTCCTTACCCTGCAGGCCTTATGTCGGGGCAGACATTACATTAATCAACTTAATGTTCTCTGATTCTCTCCCTCTGTCTCTCTGTCTCTGTCTCTCTGTCTCTCTGTCTCTCTGTCTCTGTCTCTGTCTCTGTCTCTCTCTCTCTCTCTCTCTCTCTCTCTTTCTCTCTCTCTGTGTGTGTGTGTGTGTATGAGTGATGGCTAATCTTGGGTGTCAACTTGATCACATCTATTATCAGCTTGGTATACCCATGAAGGATTTTCTTGATTGAATCATTTGAGATGGGAAGAACCACTCCAAATCTGGGCCACACCTTCTGGTGGCAGCCCAACATGGAAGAAAGGATATGAAAAAAGAAGATTTTGTTCTTTGCCTGCTTGCCCCCATACTCACTGGCAAATTCATCTATCCTGTTGCTGAGGTATTCCTTTGCTGGAATTAGAATCTACTTTTTAGGGATCCTAGTATAGACTCCCGAAGACTGGCAGCTCTCTAGGAATCTTCCAGAACTCTAGCACCAGATTGGTACTAGTGAGACACCCAGTCTCCTGTACTGAACAACTACTGGATGCTTAGCCTTTCCAACTGGAGAGAGCCATTGTTGGACTACCTTGTCCACAGCTTGCAAGCCATCACAAGTTCCCCTTTAACATGTGTGTATGTATGTATGTATGTATGTATGTATGTATGTATGTATGTATGTACTCTATCAGTTCTGTTTAGAGCACCCTAACACAGTGTATTTAGAAGGCAGAGGCCAGTATTAAGTGTCAGTCCTCAGGAGCTCTACACCTTGTTTATTGATCAGGCTAGGCTGGGTGGCCTCCCTAGCACTAAGATCACGTGTGCACACTACCAGACCATTTCTTCTTTTTTAATGTGGGCTCTGGGGATTGCACTCAGATTTACATACATGAACAGCTTGCAATTAACCTGCTGAGATGCTGCCCTGTGCTTCCGTGTTTCTTAAACCTACCATCCCTTTTCAGAAGAAGCTAGTCTCTGATCATTATGTCTACTGGCATTTATTTCTAGCGTTTAAGAAGAAACTTCTCTTCCCCTTCCTTAAATTTCAAGCAGTGTCCTTGACTGGACAGGAGAGAAACCCAGAGCCTGTGCATAGCTCTCTGGAGGACCATCCTCGGCCCACCAGAGATGGTTGCTTGGGGATCTTTCCTGCATCTTGCTTTTCTTCTTTCTCTCAAAGCCAAGAGCACAAGCTTTAGGCCCAGGCCAGCGTTGATTGACTTGGATCTCTCTTTCTTGAGGCCTGTTTCCCCTTGTGTGACATGCTGTTCTGTCTGTGTTTGTTCTCATTATGGAGGCCGGGATCCCATGAACTCCTCCTGAATTGTCTGGATCTGCCGAGGCTGTGATGAGTGACCATTCTTTGGTGGTTTCAGTTTTCTCAACCCAAACATTGGGATAATATAAGTAGATTCCATCAAGCAATGGTGATGCACACCTTTAATTCCAGCACTGGAGGCAGAGACAGGTAGATCTCTGTAAGTTTGAAGCCAGCTTGGTCTCCAGAGTGAGCTCTAAGACAGCCAGACTTACAGTGAAAGCCCTGTCTTGAAAAATGAAAAACAAATAAGCAAACAAAAACAAAAAACCAAATCCTTCAGGGGTAATGTGAGTATCCTGGTTATCCAGAATTAGGTGACCCCCTCAGCTTTTTCCCTACCAAGAACTCAGCTGTGGTTAGAAAGGCCCTTATAGTTAAAGGGCCTTTTGCATTGGGGTTGGAAGATTCTCTTACCATCCTCATCCTGTCTGGCCCTGTAGTAGACTCAGGTGGGAGCAAGGCCATGTAGACAGGGTCACTCCAGGTCAGGAGTTTGTTTTGCTTACTCAAGTATGCCTAGCTGTCCTCTAGAACACACAATGGGCACCCAGTAAACAATCTCTCAGGGAAGGGTGAAGACACACATAGTACTGGAGGCAAAAGCTGGAGGGGTAAACACCAGATCATGCTAAAGCTTCTTGGCGCTTAGCCCCTGGGCTTGTATGCAGGCAGCCTCACTGTACAACACTGTGTATGAACATAACTCTAAGGACTTCAGCACAGTAGACTGTACCCGGCCCTGAGCTTCTCTGGAAGGCCTCTGCTCCAGCTGCTCTGCTGTTTGCAATATCCTTCCCTCTTCTCCTGTGGCAGCACCTCCTGCTCTGACTCTCAAGGGCCCTATACCTCAGCCTAGTCACCCTGTCACCATGGAGCAGGGCAGGGCTGCCAGCCTGTGTGGGAAGAAAGCCCACACAAGCTCACCTGACTTACACTTGTGGATCTGTCTCAACAGCCTGGTTCTCCTGTGGTCCCACCAGCTCCTCCTAAGCTACTCTGTGGGGTCTGGGGATGCTCTGTGAGGGTGGGACATGGACACCCCACTCTTGGTAGGAACGGTGACCTACAGTGATGATCTCATGCGTATATGCCAGGAAGTTGGCAGTATTCAGACCCAAGTCACAGGTGTGTGGCTTTTCCCTTCTGGGGGTTGAGCAGAGGCACTCTGCCTCCCTCAACTTATTTTGGAGATGGTGATAACCCTGTGCCCCTGGCCATGTCACTCTGTGTACCTCAGTGGTCAGGTGTAGAAACCCACGCATGAAACACTCCCCTCCCATCAGCACTACTTTGCAGGGTCAGCTCACCACTGCAATCTTTGTCTTCCTTGACTCATGTTGAAGTTTGATTCCTGTGTGGTATCGTTGAGAAGCCAGAACCTTGGGGAGTGGTGATTAGGTCATGGGACACCTTCTAAGTGCTCCCATGTTGAGATCAAGTTATTGTAACGCAAGGTTGCCCCTCCTGCTTTGCCGCTTCTGAGCATGCTGGCTGCACGAGTCTACTGCCCTTCTATCTTCCATTGTGTCCTGGACCATCTTCTTCAACTTCCAGACCCTGGAACCAAAGTAACCTTGTGTCCTGTAAATCTTCCCGAGCTCAGGTAGCCCGTGTTTGAGCCACCATTTGCAGGTCCCAGAAATCAGGACGTGGGAACTTCTGGGGCAGGGTTGTTTTATTCATTCTGTCACAAGGACTTTATAGTTTTCAGCATGCACCCACCATAAAGACAGCAGCGTGGAGGGAGTTGGGTAGGTGGCTCAGTGGGTAAGAGTACTTGTGTATCAAGCATGAGGACATCAGTTTGAATCCCCAGGAACCACATTAAAAAGTTCAGACATAGCTACTTGCACTCTGTACAAGATTTTTTTTTTTTAAACCTTTGTTGTGATGAAATACTCAAACAAAAGAAGCTTGAGGGGGAAAGGTTTATTTTAGTCTCTGATCAATCTTGACGGGGAAATCAAGCCACCGGGAGCTCGAAGCGGCTGGTAACATTGTGTGTACACTCAAAAGAAGAATAAAAAAAGGTCTTTCCTCAATTTCCTTTTCCATCCAGACAACCTAGGACCCTAGTCAGGGAATGGTGCTCTTCACAGTTGACAGGCCTTCCCACGTCAACAGAATCAAGATAGTCTCTCCCAGGCATGCTCAGAGGCCCATATCCTGGGTCATTCTGGAATTTGCCAAGCTGACCATTAGCCCTAATCATCTCTTGCCTGTGACCCCAATACTCTGTGATGGAGATGGGCAGACCCCAGTATCTCGCTGGCTAGTCAGCCTAGCCAAAATGGTGAGCCTCCAGTTCAGTTAGAGACCTTGTCTCAAGGCAAAATGGCAGAGAGGAATGGAGGTAGACACTTGAGGTTCCCCCCTCTTGTTTCTTCATGTGGGCATATGACACACACACACGCACGCACGCACGCACGCACGCACGCACGCACGCACGCACGCACGCACGCACGCACAC